GGGAGGTTATACAATGTTTTACTCCCTTTTCACTACAGTATTACAAAAATTCTTCCACATCCTAGCTACATCATTGTAATTCAAATCTTGTTGTATATAATAGTAAGAATTCATAAGTACAGCACTGGTAAATAATCTTACCTGTTCAAAAGAATATCTTTCCATTGATTTTTCCTCCTGAACACCACCTACTACATACAAAAAGTTATCCAAAACTGCAACACTCATAATGTCGTTGTGCCTGTAGGGGTTTGGTTGACCTATCATTGGTGGTAGATTCTTCCACTCCCCTGTCACAGGATTGTATGAGAGAAGATCACCCATGGGCTTGCGAGTGTACGTATATCCACCAACAATGTAGATAAGACCTTGATATTCTACTGTACCCATGCTGTAAAAAAAAAAAAAAAAAAAGACAGGCCGCTGCTACATTTTATCATTATTATCAGTAGTTCACACTATCAGTCAGTAAATCCAATTTGAAAATGGTTATTGTACTTACTTGGATCTAGCTTCTGGCATATTTGACTCTAATAATCTCCACTCATCTGCAATAGGGTTATATCTTTCAATCGTTTGGGATATGACCGCATCGGTCGATCCCGTCCAACGATTAAAGATAGTCAAACCACCAAAGGCATAGAGATAACCTCCATGAGCGCAAAATCCAAAATCACACCGTGGGAGCACCATAGAAGATATCCTGGTCCAATTATCTTTCTGAGGATCATAAACATCACCATTTGCCAAAATCTGATTATCATGTCCCCGTTTTTTTATTTCTATCTCCCCTCCAACAACGAAAATTTTCCCATGTAAGACTGCTATTCCTGGCCCACATCTCTCAATTTTCATGGGGCAAACTTTATGCCATTTCTGCTTAAAGATATCAAAACATTCGACACTTTTATATGTAAACAGATCTGTTCTTCGAAAGGGGACACAGATTTCTCTCTTTTGTCCACCTAAGACATAAATTTTCTTTCGTGTAGAAATTCTTGGCTGGACATACGAGGCTTCCCTTTTGGCCAAGTTTGTGTGCTGTTTAAGGTTAACCTTCAATCTGATATCAGCGGAGCACTCACTAATTGATTTTTCTATTAGTTTACTTGGAATTAAAGACAATTTCAGTCGTTTTAAAATGTCAAAATTCCAACAACAATATCTATTATTTATATCTTGTGCTTGTGTAATCCATCTGATGGCAGCAGAGAATACCTGCAATAAATAATAAAGAAAGATAAATTCGAGTTCAAATTTTTGTAAAAGTCAATTGAAAGTTGTACGTACATATTAAATATAAAAAAATATTTATATTTTACCTGAAACTCAGAGTCAATATGAAGATACTCTGAATCCAAAAAATACAGCAGAATTTCTTTCGGAATCTCAAGAAATTCTTGCTCCATTGTCACTTCTACGAAATTGGAGAAGATGAAATCCCGGGAAGAATGCAGCAACCTTACTAAATTATGGGCCTCAGCAAACCTGTTTTTTAAAATAAAATAAATATGGAATTAGTTACGTATAGGTGCAGATAAAAATACATATTATATAAATAGTTTGAAAATAATTAATTATTATACTGTACGTACCGGTAAATTCCTAAAGCATTAGATGGATGAAGTTCCCTCTTGAGAAAATCTGTACAAACAAGTACAGCACGGGACATTATCAGCATGTTTGCAGCCGCAATTAACTCCTGTGCGTTTTCCACTATTATCTTGATGTTTCCTAAAGTATTTAAAAAACAAAAATAAATTTTCTATTTATAATTATTTCTTTTTGTTTTACATATAGCATAGCACTATGAAAACTTAAAATGTTTTCCCTTACCAGTATATATGAACTCGATGAGCAGTTTTAATATATTGGGTTTCATAAACTTCATTTCTATTGACTGTGTTGTTTTTTCAGCTAATCCACCAGTAAACATGGTCTTAAAATATTTGCTTCCCGCCGAGAGTATTACACGGTGAGCCTGTGGAATAAAATGTAATCTCCATCAGTTTTTTTTTTTTTTTATATTTGTCCCCGAGGGGGGCTAGTTTATTGATTGGGGTGGGTACGTTAAGGGGGCGTAAAAGTCTAGGTGAAGGGTCGTCGTCATAACATAGGTTTTGTCAAGTTTAAATAAAAATGAGAGATGGATTGAATTTGTAGGTGGTGGGGGGGGGGGAGTTCCTGGTTATGATAAAGATTGACGTGACATTAATATGTCGTCAAATACCAGGCCTATGACTGGGAGGAGGACTGGGAGGAGGGATATTTTGTGGGAAGGAAAAAGTGTTGGTAACGGCCTGGGACCTATAGGAGGAGGTCATGGGGCAAGTGGAGGATGTAAAATGAGAGAGGCCATAATAACAGTGCGGTGAGGTACCTATAGATGTAGACTGGTCGAACAATAGGAAGCCAAAATAAAACCACTGCTAGGAAGCAAGCCAAAATCAAACCACTGCTAGGAAGCAAACCAAAAATTAAACCACTTCTAGGAAGCATTCAGAGAAGTTAGGAGATTTCTTCCACTATTCCTTGGTCCTAGACTCCTGGGCAGTTAGGGCGGCGGCGGGTAGAGTGTGGACGGTGTACTTCGATATGGGTATAAAAGGTGGGTGATGGAGGGCAGGCAGAGAAGAAAGTGTAGGAGATAAATACAGGTAAATGTTTCACTCACTCACCTTCACAACTGATCCATCAGCTAATAATATTTCTACATCACATAACTCTTGTGACTGCCAGAGGAAATGTATGTAGTCTAGTAGGTAGTTCGGATAAGATTTACATTCCTCTTCCTCCTCCTTCTCCTCCTCGTTATGAGAGAGCTCCACACGTGCAGCCGCCATCTTCAGATACTAATGTAATACTAACTAGTTGTCAGTTTTATTTTTAGTGGTGTGGTGATATCTGGTAATACCCGTAGTGGTGGTGGTGGTGGTGGTGGTGGTGGTGCTTCCGTTGCTTCTTCCAACAGTAACAAAACTAAACTACAGCCACACTCCTAAGACAGTCAAACCACCAAAGGTATAGAGATAACCTCCATGAGCGCATAATCCAAAATCACCATGGGAGCACCATAGAAGATACCCCGATCAAATTATCTTCCCAAAGCGGATCAGGATTATAAAGTTCATCGTCTGCCGGTTCAATTTCTATATGTAAGACTGCTACTTCTGGCCCTACACATCTCTCAATTTTCATTGGGCAAACTTTCTGCCATTTCTGCCTGCCTAAAGCCCATAAATGCTAGGTATTTAATTTTATTATTCTATATTTGTATATGCATAGCTAGGTTACACAGAAGATAGACTGCAAATGTTATTGCTCTATACTGTATGTGTGTGTGGGGGGGTATTAGTTACTTTGGTTAAAGCCAAGATTTATGTGTACTGTACAATATGTGTATAAAATATTAATGTAGTAGTCTTGTGTTTTCATATATAATGGTTGCCTTGCTACCTACTATAACATGCTCAACAATCTTGTAGATATTTAAATTTAAGATTATTTAAGAATTATACTGTGGCTAAAATTTGACTAATGAATTGTTTTCTTTGCAGTACATCATGCAGATCTTCGTGAAAACCCTCACTGGAAAGACTATTACTCTTGAAGTAGAACCTTCAGACACCATTGAAAATGTAAAGGCAAAAATTCAGGATAAGGAAGGCATCCCCCCAGACCAGCAGAGATTGATCTTTGCTGGTAAGCAGTTGGAGGATTGTCGCATTCTTTCTGACTACAATATCCAGAAGGACTCTACACTCCATTTGGTATTGCGTCTTAGAGGAGGAATGCAGATCTTTGTGAAATTTACAGGAAAGATTACCCTAGAAGTAGAACCTTCAGACACCATTGAAAATGTAAAGGCAAAAATTCAGGATAGGGAAGGCACCCCCCAAAACCAACAGAAATTGATCTTTGCTGGTAAGAAGTTGGAGGATTGTCGCATTCTTTCCGACTGCAATATCCAGAAGGAATCTACACTGCAACTTATTAGAGAAGGAAAAGAAGGAAAAGGAAACAACAACTACATCTTTGTGAAAACCCTTACCCTTACAGGAGAGACCATTATCATAGAAGTAGAATCTTCAGACGATAAATGTACATTCCCCCCTTTGGTATTGCGTCATAGAGGAATGCAGATCTTTATGAAAAAATAAAGTATTCCGGATGAAATGTTCAAATTTCCTTTAATGTATGGAATGGAAAAGATTTAATCACATTGTTATTATTTTAACCGAACCAAAAAATAAACACTATTAAAATTATTTTATGCATTGTTTTTTTATCACATACTGCAAAACCGCAAAACCATATATATATATGAAAAACTGAGTATTTTTGTTTTCTCTATTGGCTAATTTGCAATGTGACCTAGCAGGTAGTTGGCAGTATGTTGGGATAGATTGGGTAGAGTTATAAACTGAGTATTTTTGTTTTCTCGATTGGCTAATTTGCAATGTGACCTAGCAGGTAGTTGGCAGTATGTTGGGATAGGTTGGGTAGAGTTTACAAAGAATAATACAATTTTATATCATATAGGGTAGTAAAAAACTATACATTTATTTATTTGCTTTTTATTTACTAAAATAAGAATGAGTGAGAATGAAGGAGGAGGAGGAGGAGGAAATCAGTATATAGGTTTTCAAAGTTTCGAGTAGTCAAATTAAGACTGCTATAGCATTAGTCCGACTTTCAGGGAGTGGTGTACAGCTTATCCACTTGTTATTCTTAGGGTCGAAATACTCCACATTAGCGAGAGAAATCTAAAAAGAAAAAAAAAAGTTATAAATATTATTATCAATATTTATCATTTTATATTAATCATTCTTTTATTCTTCTTTCCTTACCATTCCAATTCCATTCAAACCACTCCAGTAACCGCCTATGACATATAACAGAGAATTTGTGACAACAACTGCTGGGCTACTTCGACCCAAATACTCTGAAGACGAACACTTAAACCATTGGTTCTGTGGGAAAGTAAAAGAAAAAGGTTAAAACAAGAGTAAGGGGGCGGGAGGGGGGTATACAATTTTTTCCCTTTGTTCCTAAAGTATTACAACAATTCTTCCACTTCCTGGTTACAATATTAAACTTTAAGTACTGGTAAATAATCTTACCTGCTCAAAAGAATATCTTTTCATTGAATTTTCATCCAGAATACCATCACCTACTACGTACAAAAAATTATCTAAAACTGCAACGCCTATCGTCTTAGACGGTGGACCTTGCATTGATGTTAGATTCTTCCACTCTCCAGTTACAGGATTGTATGAGAGAAAATCATGCAGGGGATTGTAAGTGTCCGTATATCCACCAATAATGTAAATAAGACCTCGATGTTCTACTATACCCATGCTATAAAAAGAAAAAAAAAGGAAAAAAACAGTACAGGTTACTGCGACATTTTCTCATTATTATTATTAGTAATTCACACTATCAGTAAATCAAAATTGTTATTGTACTGGTTATTGTACTTACTTGGATCTAGCTTCTGGCATATTTGACTCTAATAATCTCCACTCATCTGTAATAGGGTTATATCTTTCAATATTTTTTCCTATTTCCATTGAATCCGTCCAACCACCGAAGGCATAGAGATAACCACCATAAGCGCATAATCCAAAATCACACCGTGGGATTACCATAGAAGATATTCCAGTCCAATAATCTTCCTGTGGATCATAAACTTCGCCATCCGCCAAAATCTGAGCGTCTATCTCTCCAACCCCTCCAACCACGAAAATTTTTCCATGTAAGACTTCTATTCCTGGTGAAATTCTCCCAATTTTCATAGGACAAACTTTTTGCCATTTCTGCCTAAAGGTATCAAAACATTCGATACTTTTAAGTAGATATTCCTCTGATCTATTCCATATTATATTGAATTCTTTCCTTGATCCACCTATGACATAAATTTTCTTTCGATTACAAATTCTTGGCTGGACATAAAAGGAGGCTTCCTCTTTAGCCAAGTTTATCTGCTGTTTAAGGTTAACTTTCAATCTGATGTCAGAGCACTCATTAATTGCTTTTTCTATTAGTTTACTTGAAATTAAAGACAATTTCACTCGTTTTAAAATATCGAGAATCCAACAAAGTCTATCAGTTATTTCTTGTGTAATCCATCTGATGGCAGCAGAGAATACCTGCAATATAACAAAAGAAAAGAAAAAGAAAGTGAGAGCTGCAATAAAAAAAGAAAAAATAAATAAAATTTTCAATAAATAAATATTAAATAAAAAGAAAAATATATAATATTTACCTGAAACTCAGAGTCAATATGAAGATACTCAGAATCCAAAAAATATAGTAGAGTTTCTTTAGGAATCTCAAGAAACTCTTGCTCCATTGTCACTTCTACGAAATTGGAGAAGATGAAATCCCGCGAACCATTCAACAAGCTTACTAAATAATGGGCCTGAGCAAACCTGTAAAAAAAAAAAAAATAAAAAAAATAAAAAAATATCCTCTCTAGAATAGGATTAGATCGAATCAGAATCAATCAAATTAAAACAGAACAGAAACAAAATAAAAATTCGTTACCTGTAAATTCCCAAAACATTGGATGGATCAAGTTCGCTCTTGAGAAAGTCTGTACAAACAAATACAGCACGGGGCATGAACAGCATGTTCGCAGCCACAATTAACTCCTGTGCGTTTCCCACTGTTATCTCGATGTTTCCTAAAGTATTTTTACAAAAAAAGAAAAAAAAATATTTCATTTCTTCATTTGCAACAAAATAAAAATTTTACTTATAGATAGCAGCTTAGCACTATGAAAACTTAAAATATTTTCCCTTACCAGTATATATGAAGTCGATAAGCAGTTTTAATATATTGGGTTTCATAGACTTCATTTCTATTGATTGTGTTGTTTTCTCAGCAAATCCACACGTAAACATGGTCTTAAAATAGTCACTTCCCGCTGACAGTATTACACGGTGAGCCTGTGGAATAAAATGTAATCTCCATCGTTTATTTTTTAAAATTTGTTAGTTCGTTCATACTGCCTTTATACATACATTAAGGGGACGTAAAAATCTGGGTGAAGAGTCGTTGTCATAGCATAGGTTTTGTGAAGTTACATAAAAGTGAGAGATTTATGGACGGACGGACAACAAAATCAAACCATTACCTGGAAGCAAACCAAAATTAAACCACTGCTAGGAAGCAAGCCCAAATCAAAGTACTGCTAGGAAACATTGATTCTATCGTGCGAAGAAAGTTGGATAAACAGCTCTTTATTTGTGTCGGGGGAGAAAGGAAGTTAGGGGAGAGCAGGGAAATTTCTTCCACTGCACTGGATAGACTTTGTTAATCATGTTCCACTGACTTCTCCTGGGCGGTAATAAGGAATGGAGGGTGAGTGTGGGCGGTGTAGTTAAGTTTCCCTCCCCCGATATGGTGTGTAAATGATGGGTGGGTGATGGAGGGCAGGCAGAGAAATGTTTCTTCACTCACAGATAAATGTTTCACTCACTCACCTTCACAACTGATCCATCAGCTAATAATATTTCTACATCACATAACTTTTCTGACTGCCAGAGGAAATGTATATCGTCTAGTAGGTAGTTAGGATAAGATTTACATTCCTCCTCCTCCTCCTCCTCGTGATGAGAGAGCTCCTCCACACGTGCAGCCGCCATCTTCAGATACTAATGTAAGACTAACCTAACCAGTTGTCAGCTTGGGAGAGAGAAGAGAGTAAATTGAGACTGCTCTAGCATTAATATATCAAGTTCCCGGTACATTTTATGTTAATAGGCTGTGATTAGGAGGAGGGATAGACTCAAGGTTTCGAGTCAAATTGAGACTACTAAAGCATCATTAGACCGTTCCTTAGGGAGTGATGTACAGTTTCTCCACTTTTTATCCTCAGGTTTTAGATTAAAACTTATTATAAAGGATTATTATAAAAATATTTAGGAATTATTAATATATTTTATTCTTATTTCCATTCTTCCTTACCAAGTTATGATAACCGTAACCGCCTATGACATAACAGAGGATTTGTGGCAGGCAACAACTGCTGGGATATTTCGACAAAATTAAACAATGGTACCATTGATCCACAAGGATACTTTATAAGAATACTTTCAAATTTCATGTTAGGGTAAGTTAAAAAAGATAGGAAACAAGCTTTTTTTTATTTAAAATGGATTAAATATGGAGGAGACAAATGTCAGTCTTGAGGGAAGTTTTCTTGATTGGGGATGTCGAAGGGAGTTAAAGTAAGACTGCTCTAGCATAAGACCGGCCCTCAGGGAGTGATGTACAGTTCATCCACTTATTAGTCTTAGGGTCGAAACACTCCACATTAGCGACAGATACCTTTAGAAAAAAAAACAGGTGGTTAGGTGGTTAAATTTGTAATATAATTTATTCATTTCATTCTTCCATTTCCATTCTTCCTTTCTTACCAGTTCAAGGTGGTCATTGGGACGATGACCACCTATGATATATAACAGAGAATTTGTGGCAACAACTGCTGGGATACTTCGCCAAAAATTCATTGATGAACACTTAAACCATTCGTTCTGTGGAAAGGAAAAGAAGGGAGGTTATACAACACTACATTATTACAAAAATTCTTCTCCCATATTACTTAAATTATTATTATTGTCTTTGGAAAGAGAAAAGAAGGGAGTTATATAATTTTTACTCCCTTTTCACTACTATAATTCAAATTGTATTGTATATAATTATAAGCATGCACATTACCTGTTCAAAAGAATATCTTTCTAGTGATTTTTCCCCTTCTTCATTAAAAAGACCACCCACTAAATACAAAAAGTTATTCAAAACTGCAACACCCATGTAGTTGTAGCGAGGTGGAGCACTCAGTGCTGCTAGATCTCTCCACTCCCCAGTTACAGGATTGTATGAGAGAAGTTCATGAAAGGGGTTATAAGAGTCCATACGTCCACTAACAATGTAAATAAGACCTTGATTTTCTACTATACCCATTCTGTAAAAAAAAAAAAAAAGTATAGGCACTTATATTTTCTCATTATTATCAGTAGTTCACACTATCAGTCAGTAAATCCAATTTGAAAATTGTTATTGTACTTACTTGGATCTACCTTCTGGCATATTTGACTCTAATAATGTCCACTCATCTGCAATAGGGTCATATCTTTCAATACTTTTTTCGATGACCAATCCCGTCCAACCACCGAAGGCATAGAGAAAACCTCCATGAGCGCATAATCCAAAATCAGACCGTGGGATCACCATAGAAGATATTCCAGTCCAATAATCTTCCTGTGGATCATAAACTTCGCCATCTGCCCAAATCTGACTGTCCTCTCCACTCCCTCCAACAACGAAAATTTTCCCATGTAAGACTGCTATTCCTGGTAAACTTCTCACAATCTTCATAGGGCAAACTTTCTGCCATTTCTGCCTAAAGATATCAAAACATTCGACACTTTTTAAACTATACTCCTCTGATTGTTTCCATCCACCTATAACATAAATTTTCTTTCGAAGACAAATTCTTGGCTGGACAGAAAAGGCTGCTTCCTTTTTAGCCAAGTTTGTCTGCTTTTTAAGGTTAACCTTCAATTTAATATCAGCGGAGCACTCATTAATTGCTTTTTTTATTAGTTTACTTGAAATTAAAGGCAATTTCAGTCGTTTTAAAATGTCAAAATTCCAACAACAATATCTATTATTTATATCTTGTGCTTGTGTAATCCATCTGATAGCAGCAGAGAATACCTGCAATAAATAATAGAAAGATAAATTCGGGTTAATAATCTTGTAAATAAAAGTCAATTGAAAGTTGTACATATTAAATAAAAAAAAAATATTTACATTTTACCTGAAACTCAGAGTCAATATGAAGATACTCTGAATCCAAAAAATACAGCAGAATTGCTTTCGGAATCTCAAGAAATTCTTGCTCCATTGTCACTTCTACGAAATTGGAGAAGATGAAGTCCCGGGAAGAATGCAGCAACCTTACTAAATTATGGGCCTCAGCAAACCTGTTTAAAAAAAAAAAAAAAAAATTACGTATAGGACAGATAAAAATACATATTATATAAACAGTTGGAAAATAATTAATTAATTATTATTATACTGCACGTACCGGTAAATTCCCAAAGCATTAGATGGATGAAGTTCGCTCTTGAGAAAGTCTATACAAACAAGTACAGCACGTGATATCATCAACATGTTCGCAGCCGCAATTAACTCCTGTGCATTTTCCACTGTTATCTCGATGTTTCCTAAAGTTTTTGACAAAAAAAGAAAGAAAAAAATCATTTATTCATTTGCAACAAAATAAAAATTTTACATATAGATAGCAGTATAGCACTATGAAAACTTAAAATATTTTCCCTTACCAGTATATATGAAGTCGACGAGCAGTCGTAATATATTGGGTTTCATGAACTTCATTTCTATTGACTGTGTTGTTTTCTCAGCAAATTCACACGTAAACATGGTCTTAAAATATTTGCTTCCCGCTGACAGTATTACACGGTGAGCCTGTGGAATAAAATGTAATCCCATCAGATTACATAAAAGTGAGAGAATTATGGACGGACAGACAACAAAATTAAACCACTGCTAGGAAGCAAGCCGCCCAAATCAAACCACTGCTAGGAAGCAAACCGCCCAAATCAAATCACTGCTTGAAAACATTGATTCTCTCGTGCGAAGAAAGTTGGAAAGTAACTCTTTATTTGTGTCGGAGAAGAAGGGAAGTTGGGGGAACAGGGAAATTTCTTCTACTGTACTGGATATACTTTGTTAAACCATGTTCCACTGACTTCTCCTAAACGGACGGTGAATGTGGGCAGTGTAGTTAAGTTTCCCTCCCCCAAATGGTGGGTGGGTGATGGAGGGCAGGCAGAGAAAGATATGTAGGTAGGAGTAAATGTTTCTTCACTTACAGATAAATGTTTCACTTACTCACCTTCACAACTGATCCATCAGCTAATAATATTTCTACATCACATAACTCTTGTGACTGCCAGAGAAAATGTATGTAGTCTAGCAGGTAGTTCGGATAAGATTTACATTCCTCTTCCTCCTCCTTCTCGTTATGAGAGAGCTCCACATGTGCAGCCGCCATCTTCAGATACTAATGTAATACTAACTAGTTGTCAGTTTTATTTTTAGTGGTGTGGTGATATCTGGTAATACCCGTAATGGTGGTGGTGGTGGTGGTGGTGGTGGTGGTGGTGGTGGTGCTTCCGTTGCTTCTTCAAACAGTAACAAAACTAAACTACAGCCAGCAGCCTCTTTCTTTCAGTATGTTGGGATAGGTAATACATTTTTTTTTTTTTTTAAGTGTGTGTGTATGTATGCTAAAGAGGATGAGAGGAGGATAAAGAGGGCTTGAAAGTTTCTTGTTGAATATTCTTGAGCTTGAGCTTGGGAGAGAAGAGATATCAGTTCCCGGTACATATTATGTTAATAATATCAAATGCCAGGCTGTAACTAGAGGAGAGATATACTCAAGATTTCATGGACTTAAAATGTAATATTTGTGTGTTAGGTTAGTTGAGTGCTCACTAAACTTGGCCGGTTAGCAAATGTGAAATTAAACAATTATAAGGATACTTTCAAATTTCATGTTAGGTAAGTTAAAAAGATAGAAAATTTTTCTAATTTTTATTTTATTTTAAATGGCTTTGCAACTGATCCATCAGCTGATAATATTTCTACATCAGCAGGTAGTTCAGATAAGATTGTCAAATTGCAACTGCTCTAGCATCCATCCGACCCTCAGGAAGTGATGTACAGTGTATCCACCTATTATTCTTAGGGTCGAAATACTCCACATTCACATCAGTGTCAAGTAGCTAAAAAAAAAGAAAAAAAAAATAGTTTAGGTTAAAACTTTGGATTATAAAGATTATTAATAAATATTATCAGTTTTCATTAATCATTCTTTTCAGTCTTCCTTACCTGTCCATCATCATTTCTAATGTCACCGCCTATGAAATATAACAGAGAATTTGTAGCAACAATTGCTGGGGAATTTAGACCGGAATACATTGATGAACACTTAAACCATTTGTTCTGTGGGAAAGTAAAAGAAAAAAAGGTAAAAGGAAGGGAGGGAGGTTATACAATTATTTACCAACAGTATTACAAATATTCTTATCCTGGCTGGCTACAATATAATAATAATTCATAAGCACTCCACGGTAAATAATCTTACCTGTTCAAAAGAATATCTTTCCATTTCCTCAAACTCAGTACCACCTACTACGTACAGAAAGTTATTCAAAACTGCAACACTTATCGTGTCACATGGTTCACCTAGCATTGGTGCTAGATTCTTCCACTCCTCAGTCACAGGATTGTATGAGAGAAGATCACGCAGGTCGTTGTCAGTGTCGTCCGTATATCCACCCATAATGTAAATGAGACCTCGATGTTCTACTATACCCATTCTGTAAAAGAAAAGAAAAGGAGAAAAAGACAAAAAAAAAAGTACAGGCCACTGCAACATTTTCTCATTATCAGTTACTATCAGTCAGTAAACCTAATTTGAAAATGGTTGAGTTTTAACATTACAATTGTACTTACTTTTTTCTAGCTTCTGGCATATTTGACTTTAATAATCTCCACTCATCTGTAATAGGGTCATATCTTTCAATACTTTTTTCGACGACCGATCCCGTCCAACCACCGAAGGCATAAAGGTAACCTTCATGAGCGCATAATCCAAAATCACATCGTGGGGTAACCATAGAAGATATCCCAGTCCAATTATCTTCCTGTGGATTATAAACTTCGCCATCCGCCAAAATCGGAAAGGGTCTGGGTCTACCTCTCCTATCTCTCCAACCCCTCCCTCCAACAACGAAAATTTTCCCATGTAAGACTGCTATTTCTGGCCTTTCACTTTTTTTTTTCATCGGGCAAACTTTCTGCCATTCCTTCCTAAAGGTATCAAAACATTCTACACTTTTACACAACTCGAATCTTTTAAACATCTTGAATCTATTCCATTCGTTCCTTGATCCACCTATGACATAAATTTTCTTTCGAGTACAAATTCTTGGCTGGACATAAAAGGAGGCTTCCTCTTTAGCCAAATTTATCTGCTGTTTAAGGTTAACTTTCAATCTGATGTCAGAGCACTCATTAATTGATTTTTCTATTAGTTTACTTGAAATTAAAGATAATTTTACTCGTTTTAAAATGTCAAGAATCCAACAAAGTCTATCAGTTATTTCTTGTGTAATCCATCTGATGGCAGCAGAGAATACCTGCAATATAACAAAAGAAAAAGAAAGTGAGCTAGCTGCAATAAACCACAAAAAAAATTAGATTTTTGATTTAATAAATAAATATTAAATAAAAAGAAAAATATCTAATAATTACCTGAAACTCAGAGTCAATATGAAGATACTCCGAATCCAAAAAATATAGTAGAGTTTCTTTAGGAATCTCAAGAAACTCTTGCTCCATTGTCACTTCTACGAAATTGGAGAAGATGAAGTCCCGCGAACCATTCAACAAGCTTACTAAATAATAGGCCTCAGCAAACCTGTAAAAAAAAAAATAAACACACCCTCTTTAGAATCGAATCAGATCGAATCAGAATTAATCAAATTAAAACAGAACAGAACAAGAATAAAAAAATTACAAAATAAAAATTAGTTACCTGTAAATTCCTAAAGCATTGGATGGATGAAGTTCACTCCTGAGAAAGTCTGTGCAAATACGTACAACGTGGGGAACTACCAGCATGTTTGCAACAACTATTAACTCTTGAACGTTTTCAGCTGTTACCTCGATGTTTCCTAAAGATTAAGATATAAATAACAAAATAAAAATACCGTTTTTTTTTATAAATATGAAAACTTAAAATGTTACTTACCAGTATATATGAATCCGATGATCTGCTCTAATATATTAAATTTCATAGATTTAATTTCTATTGAAGAATATGTTGTTTCCTCAGTTAATCCACAGGTAAACATGGCTTTAAAATAATTACTTCCCGCCGAGAGTATTACACGGTGAGCCTGGAATAATAATAAAAGAATTTGGTTGATTGTATACATATACAAGATATTTTTTTTCAATTATTGACAACAAATAATAAAAAAGTTAAAATAATGTTTTCTCACCTTCACAACTGATCCATCAACTGATATTTCTACATCACAGAACTTTTGTAACTGCCAGAGTGAATTTAGGTTCTCTAGCAGGTTGTTTGGATAAGGATAATTACACTCCTCTCCGTTATCAGAGAGCTCCACACGTGCCGCCGCCATCCTCATATATAACTAAAAAACTAATATATGTAATATATATGGGAATGATATGAGAGAGGGTTTGAAGGTTAAGGTTTCGAGTGAGTTAAATTGAAACTGCTCTAGCATCAGACCGACCCTCAGGGAGTGATGTACAGTTTATCCACCTATTATTCTTAGGGTCGAAATACTCCACATTAGCGACAGATATCTAAAAAAAAAAAATAAAAATAAAAATTAGTTTGAGGTTAAAACTTTGGAATATAAAGATTATTAATAAATATTATCAGTTTTCATTAAGCATTCTTTTCATTCTTCCTTACCAGTCGTCCATCGTAATTTATATTGTCACCTCCTATGACATATAACAGAGAATTTGTGGCAACAACTGCTGGGCTATGACCGAAATACATTGATGAACACTTAAACCATTTGTTCTGTGGGAAAGTAAAAGAAAAAAGGTAAAAGGAAGGGAGAGTGGTTATACAATTTGTTATCCCTTTTCACTAAGTATTACAAATTGTTCCACATCCTGGCTACAATATTGAACTTCAAACCTTATTGTATATAATCTCATAAGCACTGCACTGGTAAATAATCTTACCTGTTCAAAAGAATATCTTTCCATTGATTTTTCCCCATTAATACTACCTACTACGTACAGAAAGTTATTCAAAACTGCAACACCTATCATGTGACATGGTGGACCTAGCATTGGTGCTAGATTCTTCCACTCCCCAGTCACAGGATTGTATGAGAGAAGATCACGCAGGAGGGTGTAAGTGTCTGTATATCCACCAATAATGTAAATAAGATCTCGATGTTCTACTATACCCATGCTGTAAAAGAAAAGAAAAAGAAAAGCGCACAGGCCGCATTTATTAACAATATCAGTCAGTAAATCTAATTTGAAAATGGTTGATTTTTAAAATTACAATTGTACTTAATGTTAATACTAATCATCACCAGCGTTCTTTTATAATTATAAATAGTGGTAGTGTTGATAGTGTTGATATCTGGTACTTTTTAACAGAGGGGTAGGTAAATTGTTGTGGTTGTGGTGGTGGTGGTGGTGGTGGTGCTTCCGTCCTCGTCTTCAAACAGTAGGAAAACTAATGTACAGCAGCTTGGGATGGATAGTAAAAACTATACATTAATTTCAGTTTTTATTTTTATTTTAAGTGTGTGTTTGTTGAAAAGGATGAAGAAGAAGAAGAAGAGGACTCTTAAATTTCTCTGTTAGATATTCTTGAGCTTCTTGAGCTTGGGGAAGTATCAAGAAGAGAAGAGAAAGAAAGTTGAGTCAAATTACGACAGCTCTAGCATTAGACCGACCCTCTGGGAGTGATGCACAGTTCCTCCACTTATTCTTCTTTGGGTCGAAATACTCCACATTAGTGATAGGTACCTAAAAAAAAAAATAAAAGTTAAAACTTTGGATAACTTTTGATTTGTATATCACATATTTATTAATCATTCTGTTTTCGTTCGTTCTTCCTTACCCCTCTACAGCCGCCTATGACATATAACAGAGAACTTGTGGCAACAACTGTTGAGATACTTCGACCAAAATACTTCGATGAACACTTGAACCATTTGTTCTGTGGGAAAGTAAAAGAAAGAAGAAAAGTAAAAGGAAGGGAGAGTAGGGAAGTTATACAATTTTTTACTCCCTCCATTTTCACTACAGTATTACAAAAATTCTTCCACTTCCTAGCTACAATATTGTAATTCAAATCTTGTTGGATATAATAAGAAGAATTCATAAGAACAGCGCTGGTAAATGTATATAAAAATAAGAATTTATAAGTTTTGCACTGGTAAATAATCTTACCTGTTCAAAAGAATATCTTTGCATTGATTTTTTTTCATAATTGTTCCGAATACCACCACCTACAACATATAAAAAGTTATCCAAAACTGCAACACCTATCTTGTTATGTAGTGCTATCATTGGTGCTAGATTCTTCCAATACCCAGTCACAGGATTGTATGAGAGAAGATTACACAGGCGGATGAAATAATATCCCGCACCAACTCCACCAACAATGTAAATAAGACCTCGATGTTCTACTATACCCATACTGTAAAAAAAAAGAGGGAGAAGAAAAAAAGACAAGTACAGGTCAATACTACATTTTCTCTTCTCTTATTATTATCAGTAGTTTACACACACACTATCAGTCAGTAATTTCACTTTGAAAATTGTTATTGTACTTACTTGGATCTACCTTCTGGCATATTTGACTCTAATAATGTCCACTCATCTGCAATAGGGTCATATCTTTCAATACTTTTTTCGATGACCAATCCCGTCCAACCACCGAAGGCATAGAGAAAACCTCCATGAGCGCATAATCCAAAATTAGACCGTGGGATCACCATAGAAGATATTCCAGTCCAATAATCTTCCTGTGGATCATAAACTTCGCCATCTGCCCAAATCTGACTGTCCTCTCCACTCCCTCCAACAACGAAAATTTTCCCATGTAAGACTGCTACTCCTGGCCCACATCTCTCAATTTTCATAGGGCCAACTTTCTGCCATTTCTGCCTAAAGGTATCAACACATTCGACACTTTTTAAACTATACTCCTCTGATAGTTTCCATCCACCTATAACATAAATTTTCTTTCGAAGACAAATTCTTGGCTGGATATACGAGGCTTCCCTTTCGTCCCTTAAAAATGTCGTCCTCTGCTGTTTAAGAATAACCTTCAGATTGATATTAGAGCACTCATTAATTGATTTTTTTATTAGTTTACTTGGAATTAAAGCCAATTTCACTGGTTTCAAAATGTCATAAATCCAACAATGTCTATTAGTTATATCTTGTGTAATCCATCTGATGGCAGCAGAGAATACCTGTAATACAATAAAGAAAGAAAAGGTAGATAAATTTGATTGTTTGGGGGTCTACTATTAAATAAAAAAATAGCGTATATAAATATTTACCTGCAACTCAGAGTCAATATGAAGATACTCTGACTCCAAAAAATACAGTAGAATTTCTTTAGGAATTTCAAGAAACTCTTGTTCCATTGTAATTTCTACGAAATTAGAAAAGATGAAGTCCTGCGAAGCAGACAGCAGGTTTACTAAATAATGGACCTCAGCAAACCTGTTTAAAAAACAAAAACAATGGATTTATTCCTAATAGATTTATTTATTGTACGTACATATAGGTAACATAATCAACTGAACTGAATCATCAAACCGTACCTGTAAATTCCTAAAGCATTGGATGGATGAAGTTCACTCTTAAGAAAGTCTGTACAAACACGTACAGCATGGTGAATTTCAAGTATGTTTGCAGCTACAATTAACTCTTGAACATTTTCCACTGTTACCTCGATGTTTTCTAAAGATTTAAAAAAAACAATCTATCAACAAAATAAAAAATATCGTTTTTAGTTTTACATTAGTACTCACTTTCTATTAACTTTTAAAAAGTTTTTCTTTATCCTTACCAGTATATATAAATCCGATGAGCTGTTTTAATATATTAAATTTCATAGACTTCATTTCTATTGAAGAAGACTGTGTTGTTTCCTCACTTAATCCACAGGTAAACATTGTCTTAAAATAATTACTTCCCGCCGAAAGTATTACACGGTGAGCCTGAAATAATAAAAATAGTTGTGTTAAGTACAAACAGGAAAGACGACGACAGTTTTTACAGTTATTTCAGTTAAAAAATAATGTTTTCTCACCTTCACAATTGATCCATCAGCTGATGATATTTCTACATCACAAAACTTTTGTAACTGCCAGAGTGAATGTAAGTTTTCTAGCAGGTTAGATTTACATTCCCCCTCCCCATTATCAGAGAATTCCACATGTGCTGCCGCCATCCTCATATATTACTAATAAACAAATGTAATACTATTCATCCAGAGTTGAGTTGTCTGGTGGTGGGTAGTGATATCTGGTAATTTTTAACTGAGATGTAGTATATATATTGAGAAAACGTTATAATTGGGGTACCGAGTAATCACAGGTATATTAGGTCTTTTATATGAAATGGCGGCATGTGTGGAGCTCTCTTATCCGAACGACTTCCTAGAGGTGGAGCTCTCTTATCCGAATGACTTGCTAGAGAACTTACATTCACTCTGGCAGAAACAACAGTTCTGTGATGTAGAAATATCATCAGCTGATGGATCAATTGTGAAGGTAAGAAAATTTGCTAGTATATTAAGTTGTTTTAACTAGCTTTGTCTGAAATGAATAAAAAAGTGAAGATTTTTATATACTGTATACAACAAACATTTTATTCCAGGCTCATCGTGTAATACTCTCGGCGGGAAGTGAATATTTTAAGGATATGTTTACTGGTGGATTAGCTGAGGAAACAACACAGTCTTTTTCAATAGAAATGAAGTTTATGAAATCCAATATATTAATTCGGATCATTCGATTCATGTATACTGGTAAGATAAAAGGAAAAACACATGTTTGTCATATATGTAAAAAACACATGTTTTTCATATTGCTATATGTAAAACGGTATTTTTATTTTATTAATTATTATGAAAAATTTATTTTAATATTTTAAATCTTTAGGAAACATTGAGATAACAACGGAAAATGCTCAAGAGTTAATAGTTGCTGCAAACATTCTGAAAGTTCACCATGCTGTATGTGTTTGCGCGGCCTTTCTCACAAGTGAACTTCAGTCATCCAATGTTTTAAGATTATACAGGTGTGTAAGTAAATTATTAAGTAAATTATTAAAAAATATTCTAATTTTGTAAACTTTACCATTTTTGACGTACAGTATTCAATATAAATTCCATATTTTTCTAAACACAGGTTAGCTGTAGCTCATAATTTAGTACCACTGCTGGATTCTTCACGGGACTTCATAATCACAAATTTCTCAAATGTAATATTGGAGAAAGAGTTTCTTGATACTCCTAGAAATATTATACAAGAGCTTCTTCTAGAGAAAAAACGTCAAAGTCTTGAAGAAAACTACAAGAAAGAACAGTTCCACCATTGTCCTACCTGTAAATTACAAGTGTAGACAGGATTAGAGAGGAGTAAGAGTGACTAAGGTTGCTAGTAGCGCCCAACCTAAGGCGATTTCACCAACTAAGTTATTGCCCTAACAAGATGCTTTGCTTTTTATCACCGGCGTCATGTTCTTTCCGGTTTCAAAGAAAATAAATTATTAAAACTAAACAGAAAGAAAAAGCCACAAAAGCCGTGATGAATGGATGCAATGTTCCCGCAGAAATATTTCTCTTATCTCCTTACCATAATTCCACAAAAGTTTTGTGTAGGTCAGTGGAAAATGAGATCTTTTGAAGAATTTAGATTTCAATATGTTTTAATAATATAACAAAACATTAAGATTAATCATTTAATTATTTTTACATTCATTTGTACCATGAACACACATATTATTACATTTTTTACTTCTTTTAAAACATGCACATCGTTTATCTCTACATGGAATAGATTTACATTTACAAGCTACACTATTTCTAGTACTTTCTCTACGAATCCCTAAACTCTTGGTTTGAAGTCTTGCAGCCTTACGTATAGATAATTTGACATGTGGTAATTGTGATAATTGTCTTGGTGGTGTTGATACTGATGATGATGGTGATGATGATGGTGAATATTGTGGTTGTGGTGATGATGATAGTGAATGTTGTGGTTGTGGTAATGATGGTGGTGGTGGTATTGGTGTATTAACATTACCATACAGTTCTAGTTGATTTTTCATTAATCTTGGTTTAAGTTCACCATGGGGTGTTATTACTTTATATAAACCCTTTTGTTTATTAATTTCAGATACAATTCCTATTAAATTAATTGGTCCAATTT